TCGCTGCGTAGTAATTGGAAAATTGTTATAAAAAATAATAAAGAATATTTGCCACTGAATTAAAGCATTTACTTATAAATTTTCATTTATGCTTTTTGTTAAAAAAATATTGATCAAGTTATTATTTTGAAGGGTTTTCATACCAGAACTATTTATTACAGACGTACGTATGCCTAAACCTGATTACCGCGGCAGTATGACGTCACGGAGTAGTGATTTAAACAAAAATCAAGAATTTTTCAGAGAATTATTATCTTTACAAATTGCAGATATGAAATTAAAGAATGAAAATATTTTCATTTTGTAAATGTCTGTGATGAGTGATGAGTCAGCTTAGAAAAAATCAAGGTACTATTTTTTGACCTGATTACCGCGGCAGTATGACGTCACGGAGTAGTGATTAAAACAAAAATCAAGAATTTTTCAGAGAATTATTATATTTACAAATTGCAGATATGAAATTAAAGAATGAAAATATTTTCATATTGTAAATGTCTGTGATGAGTGATGAGTCAGCTTAGAAAAAATCAAGGTACTATTTTTTGACCTGATTACCGCGGCAGTAAGATTTGACGGACAGTTATTAACATTGGGTCGGCATAGCCTCCCCAAAAACTGACTGCATGAAATAATGCCACTCAACTCGGTCTTATATATTGGCCTCGTAAGTGAAGATATGTGTGAATATATATATTCACTTACGGGGCCCATATATAAGACCGAGTTGAGTGGCATTATTGCATGCAGTCAGTTTTTATATACGCCACTATATAGGCCTATAATGAACATTTCCATACAACAGAACTAAGGGGTACTTAGTTATATATATAAACTATATATTTGATTTTACCTAGGTGAAAACATATTGACCAATAACAGAAAACCCCATTAAAAATATATACATTTGTGGGACATATATCATTTACTACTAAAACGGCCTACGGGCACTATGTTAGAAGGGTAGCCTACGCCCCCATACATCGTTTTAAACATGCCAGAGTTGCGAGGCCTTATGTATGCCCCACATTAAATATACACCCCACAAGTATGGTCTCAAATCGACCGATGCCCGTAAATGGAGGAATGTGTTTTGTATATATATATATATATATATATATATCAATATATATATGCATATATATATATATATATATATATATATATATATATATACAGATATATTTATAATATATATATATATATATATCAAATATATATATATATATAACAGATATATACATATATATATATATATATACATATATATATACATGTGTATATATATATATCAAATATATATATATAATATATATATATATATATATACATATATATATATATATATATCAAATATATATATATACATATATATATACATGTATATATATATATATTTTTTTTGCATATATATGTATATATATATATATATCAAATATATAATATATATACATATATATACATGTATATATAATATATATATATACATATATATATACATGTGTATATATATATATATATATATATATATATACAGTCGAACTTCGTTCGCTTGTCGAACTCGGAGGGCCTGTGCAAATTTTGTTCGAGAGATCGGTAGTTCGAGCCAACCGAGGTCGAACTATTATTACGTTGATCATATGCCTAATGGTTAATAGCATACATTGGTCGAATGATAAATACGTCGAATATGTTACATTCAGAATTATTATCCGCATGTTGTTTTCAATTAGTATTAAACGGTATGTTGTGTTACTCTATATTCATGCATCTTGTAATTGGTTGAGTTCGATTGGGCAATCAGACCAAACTTGTTGAAAATGTTCAAAATATATTTATATGTTTATAATGGGATTTTTTAATTTAAAAAAATGAATTAATGAAATATTTAAGAAAAAATTTTTACAGCACCATTTATTTGTAGTCATTTACTTAAATAAACACACGTACAAGTATCATTCTATAAATAACATAACACTATTACAATTCACGTTACATGAACTACGGTTGTAATTAAAGCCGTCCGGATAAACGTCATTCATTATTGACTTTTGCATATTTCACTTTATTTCACAAGTTCTTTTTCTTTTATTGTTACCATAAACGGCAAATAAACAATATTATTGTAACAAACAAATCGGTTACAAACACCTCTTATTTTGTATCAATTAACCTTAATTGCTTTGTCATAATCACGAGGTGTTAAAACATGTGTCACGACTGTCATTTATTTAGAACATGTCGACTTGTCTTTTTGTGTTCGACCGAAAAGGTGTGATTTTCACTATATATCTGCCGAAGGGACCAGAGATCAGGTTCGAGAGTTCGACGCGCGTTCGGTGTTCGAGCGATCCGAGGTAAAACAATATATATTATATAGGAATTTTGCCGGGACTGGGCGATGAGTTCGAGCGAAGGGAGGTATTCGAGCGATCCGAGTTCGAGCGAACGAAGTTTAACTGTATATATATTTTTTTTTTTGAATATATATATGCATATATATATAGATATATATATATAGATATATATATATATATATATATACATGCATATATATATGCATGTATATATATATACACACACACATATATATATATATATATAAAATTGCGTCATTTTTTCTATTTTTAGAAATTGCGTCATTTTTTCTATTTTTAGAAATTGCGTCAATTTTTTCTATTTTTAGAAATTGCGTCATTGTTGCTATTTTTAGAAATTGCGTCATTTTTTTCTATGTTTAGAAATTGCGTCATTTTTTTCTATTTTTAGAAATTGCGTCATTGTTTCTATTTTTAATAATTGCGTCATTTTTTTCTATTTTTAGAAATTGCATCATTGTTGCTATTTTTAGAAATTGCGTCATTTTTTCTATTTTTAGAAATTGCTGCATTGTTGCTATTTTTAGAAAATGCGTCATTTTTTCTATTTTTAGAAATTGCGTCAATTTTTCTATTTTTAGAAATTGCATCATTGTTGCTATTTTTAGAAATTGCGTCATTTTTTTATTTTTAGAAGTTATGTCATTTTTTTCTATTTTTAGAAATTGCGTCATTTTTTTCTATTTTTAGAAATTGCGTCATGTTGCTATTTTAAGAAATTGCGTACTGTTGCTATTTTTAGAAATATGCTTAATGTTTCTATTCATATATATACAAAATATATAAACAAAACTAATGTGACAAGACAGACCAACTAAATTTATAAAAAGGAAACGTCAATATATGTTCAAACCTTTCTATGTTTGCGTTTAGAAAAAGTAAAAAGTCGAGCGTTGCCCCCGCCCGGAGGTGGCTCTTGTTTTAATTTGACATGCAAAAAATGCGTGTGATATTACTATATTATAATATTAGTTCCTTTTGTTACTATTTGTATATTTGTTACAATTATAATAATAAAAAAGAAAAATATTACATACATTCGTATCTAATATAGGTACGATTGCAAACTAACTTTTGTGAAGACTTTTTATGATTGCTGCTTGAATGGTGTTATATAAAATGAACAAACATGTCATCAGATATTTTATATTTTTAAACATTTTCATGGAATGTAATAATTGTATCATAATATTAAAATTTCATGCATTCTGATGAGGAAAATGATTTCAATAAAAGAACAATGTATGACCAATTTACTGCTTTAAAACATTAACACAAAATTACACATCCTCCACTGAACAGACCATATGAAAATCTTGCAAACCCTCAGAAATAGAAATATAAACAATAAAAACACGTTTTTTCCCATGTATTTCTTTGTTAGCTCGACTATTTTTGAAAAAAAAAGTAGAGGTATTGTTATAGTCGCGGCGGCTTTGCCGATGCCGTTGGATCATAACTTTTTATATGCCCGAAAGGGCATATTATGTTATACCCCCTGGCGTCCGTCTGTCTGTCCGTCCGTACGTCCGTCCGTCCGTACCTCTGTCCTTGCGTCCCAAAATCTTTTGAACGCAACTCCTCTTAAACTGGATGGCAGATTTTGCTTTAACTTCCAGGGATGAACAACCTTAATGTGTAGATGGTAGTAAAGGAAGGAATTTTTGCTGCAACCAAATTTAACAGAATTATGGCCCTTTGTTGATTTTTTCACTATATACTATGTAGAAATTGTGTGAACGCAACTTCTCTTGAACCGGATGGCAGATTTTGCTTAAACTTCCAGGAATGATCAACCTTAATGTGTAGGTGGTAGTAAAGGAAGGAATTTTTGCTGCGACCAAATTTTACAGAATTATGGCCCTTTGTTGATTTTTTCACTATATACCATAATTATAGAAATTTTGTGAACGCAACTCCTCTTAAACCGGATGGCAGATTTTAATAAAAAGTTCCACATAAAAATCTTACATACAGATATGCATGCTCTTGTTTACGAGCACATCTGCACATTTGGGGCATCCGTGTCCTTTTAACACAGTTCTAGTTTTTTTTGTCTTTTATACTGCTTTATATATGAAATTTGTTCCCGTTCTTATCCATTAATATGACAGACTGCGAATCACCGAATGGGAAACCAATATATGACTTTACATAATAGAAATCAAAAGAAATTATTGCATCCCAATTTATTTTTAGCTGTAAATCAAAGGGATTAATTGATAAAAAGCAGGTACATGGACAAAAAAAGATAGTTAACACAAATAGCTCCGCGCCTGTGTGGGCCGAGCAATCAACATGAAACTATGTAGGTAGATAAATCTCACTGAGTAGAAGTGCAGAAATCTCAAGGAGAAAGAACATATTGCCCTTAAAAGAAGTCATGAAAATTTCAAATCCAAACTTAAATTTATCTTATTGATGTAAGACAAATAATTTAGAACATTTGGAAAAGATCTATAAACTAGTCTGTCTCCCTATGTGCAAAATTATTAACTAAAAACATGTTTTCTGACAAGGTGTGTTAGGTGTATTCTGCACTTTTGACAATTTCTAGTTTTTAATCAGGTATAAAAAGAAGCAGTAATTAAATGGTTATGGAAATTGTGCATCTTTTGTTTACAGTCCTGCAGTAGGGTGTTATTGCCAACTGATATACGGAAGTCATTTCTGGAAAGTTTCAAGAGACCTATGACTTATTTACAGAGAAAATCAGCCAAAAAGAAAGTATGGGAAAAATGTAAAAAGGTTTCTGTTTGCCCATACTGTTCAGCTACAAATGGTAAATGTCTCAAATACATGTTGTTTTTAGCTTACGTGGGCACAAAGTGCTAAAGATGAGCTTTTGTGATCATAATTTGTCCGAATTCCATCTCACGTTAGTGCGTCTGTCCGTCCGTCATCAATGCCCATGGCTTAGATACTTTGTGTGTAGCTTCATCTCATGAAACTCTACAAATATTTTTAGTCCCCTACCGGTTTACTACCGGTTTACTGGAGGGGACTTTAGGATAACCCTCCGTCCGTCTGTCCATCTGTCCGTCCGTCCACAAAACTAGATCCCCCGATAACGCAACAAAAAGTGAAAATATTTTTAAGAAAATTTATATAGGGATAGATGGCAGTATGGAGATTATGCACGTCTTTTTCTTTTTTTCCTATGTTGAAAATTCTGGTTGCTATGACAACAAATAGACTGAAAATATGGCAAATTTTACACATAAACTTGTTCCAGTGATAAGGCAAAAAGTACTGGAAATATTTTTATGAAACTTGAAATATGGGTAGATGGCAGTCTGGAAATTATGCACATCTTTTTAGCTCACCTTGCACAAAGTGCAGGTGAGCTTTTAGGATGGCCAACCAAATGTGTCCGGCGTCCGTCCACATTTTTATTCAAACAACATCTTCTACAATACCACTTGGCCAATATTAATGAAACTTGGCAGGAATACTCTTTGTATGAAGCTCTATCAAGATTGTTCAAAGAATGCCATTCCATGCTAAACTCTGGTTGCTATGGCAAGTAAAAGAAAAAACTTAAAAGTTCTTAAACTTCAAAATGGAAAGGGCTAGAGCTTAGATATTTCTCACAAGGCATTAGCTTGTTAGTTCCTACAAAGTATATTCAAATTATGGTCTAAAGTTGAAAATTGGTCTCTGTTTTGGGAGTTAAAGGGTTTTTTTATTGCAAGGTTACATAGACTTTCTTTTTAGGGATAAATTGAGATAGTATATCTTGTATTTTTCGTCTCAACAGACATTATTATGAAGATTTTTCTGTTAAAGCATAGGAAGGATGAAAAGTTTGTTGAATGTGAATGTTAATTGAAATCAGAGTCAATCAGAATAGCACAAATTTGAGAGCTACGGTGAAGTTGATTTCCCCATTCAATAATGGATTCTTCCATTAATTTCGTAACACCATCAGAAAGGAAGACTGTGTCATTTCCGAAATACAATGTAAAATATTTCGGTTCTTGACAATGACTTGCACATTTTATTGTGTAAGATATTGCACAAAGAAACGAAAGTGAACAAAAAATGTTGTTTTTTTCCACAAAAATTAGTTGATTAAGATAAAAGTTTAATTTACAGTACGGATATTACTTTTTGTATCCTTCCAGTTTGCGGGAAAAATCATATACTACACCGCTCCTACTGATGAACGAATTATGTCAAAATATTTAATTCTGAGAACAAACATACGATTCAAATCATTAAATAATGCATACCAATCAGTTTATAAAAAAAAACTTTGCCTCAGAAAACATCTGTATCAATCTGACCTCGAGTTGAGATTATAAATTATACTAAACCGGAAGTACATGACGAAATGTCCGCCAATCAAGTAAATTGAGAAATTTTGTAACATGAAATCGTATTTCATAACAAAGAAGTGAAGATGAATACAATTATCGGTGTGCTTCGTTGAAACAGGTATTTTGTTAACTATTTGTGAAGTATTAAGGCATTACATGCAGTATTTATGTAAATATCACCTCCCGACGTCCCGTGTTATGATTTATAAAATTATACATGTACACATGTGTTATTGACCTCAATAAATGTAAGTGAAAATGGAACAATAATTACGGTAATTATTATCCATGGTGCTAGCAATACTTAATTATCTTTATCATATTGTTAACTAAGCTAGAAAATTGCGAATTTTAAAATAACTTAACCTCATAATATAATCAATTTAAACTTGAAAATTTTCTCAAAATGACTGCAAACAGTAATTTTTGAATTCATTTTTGAAACATGAAAATGGTTCATGTAGAGAAATAAGAGAAGAAAAAACTGAATTGACTCATGAAAAGTTTGGTCAAACAGTCTGCCACGTGAAATTCTGACCTTCCTGAGATACCTGCTGTTTGTTGCTGTTTTTTTTTTTTAGAAAGGGTGTTCTAATATGATAAACCACAGATGCTTGGGTCAACCTGATACCCCTGAGTAAACACTATCAAAAAATATTTTAATATTTAAACACTGATGGGATATGATATCTGTTACAACTATAATACTGGTTTTTCGAAAAAAATTGACATACAGTCGAGACTGCCTTAGCGACCCCCTGATTTCAACGACTCCCTGTCTTATCCGACCTTGTTTCAGTCCTCCCAACGTATTTTCCTATATAAATGGTCTGAATTATACGACTCCCTGTCATATGTGACAAGCGACCCTAATTATCTGGTCCCAATGCATTGCTTTGTCTGATTTAAACGACTTTCACACCTTTTAATTGTCCGTTAATCAGGTAAATAATACCTGTTTTATCACCCAGAGAGACAAAATAATTAAGTCCAATTAAAATCCAGTAGTCAGTACTCTTCAAACAAACTCTACACACCTCTGATTACATGTATATATGCAGGTGTCAAGTGACGTAGCGTCTGGAGTGTCCGTAGCGTCTGATGCAATCGATGTGTGTTAACAAATTGAGGTCACAGGTGTTATGAAACATAATGAACTGAGTAAACTGGATTAAGACTTGTGTTTAAAAAAATTATGGAGTGCCAACGGAAGAGATTTTTTTTAGGCAGAATTTTTTATTTTTATTTTACCTTTCTATGGTAATAGGGAAAAATGTTGATACCAGATTAATATGGATATGTTTTTAAAAGTATGATATTTATTTTAAGGATTTGAATGCATCAAATTCAAGTTTATTTTGTACCATAATGATTCAATATTAAACTAATACAAAAAATAAAATAAAATTTTATATGATATAAATACTATTATATTTGCTTTACAGGGATTCTTATTTTATTTACATCAAATATTTAAAGTACCTAATATAAGTATGTGTATTTGCAATTGGTTAGATATTATTCCTTCACACAGTTATACAGTATATATGTTAAGTCACAATGATATATAGACAGATAGATGGTATTGAAATTTTAATTTTCTATGAGACTGTATTAAGAGACTCCCTGTCATATGTGACCTTTTTCTCAAGATCCCTTGGAAAGTCACATATGACAGTCTCGACTGTATATGAAAAAAAAAATACAGTTTACCATCATGTATTGAGACTTGATTCCGGGCAGGCAGGTTGGGTCATTTTTCGTAACAGTTTTCTCAGCAACTAATCAGAGCCTCATGATATTTATTATGCAGCATTAACACATTGTTCCATACCATGGGATTCGATTTTAGGTCTGTCGCTCATCCACTTCATGTTTACTGACTTAGTTAAATTCATAATAATGGTCAATGGTTCGAATTTTTCGTAACAATTTTCTCATTAGTTAAATTCATAATAATGGTCAATGGTACAAATTTTTCGTAACAATTTTCTCAGCAACTACTTATTACAGCCTCTTGATGTTTGGTATACAGCATTGATATGATTTCAGGTATGTGGCTCATCCACTTTCAGTTTTCTGAAATTTTCGGCATTAATTGTAAATGGAAGGAAATTTCAGTAACAGTTTTCGTAGCAACTACATACATATCACAGCCTCTTGATATTTGGTATTGTGACTGCAAAGTTCAGGTCTATCGCTTATCCACTTCCTGTTTACCGACTTAGTTAAATGATCGATATTAATGGTCAATGGTAGGAAATTTTTGTAACATCACAGCCTCATGAGTCATGTTGTTTGGTATACAAATGCAACCCGGCCATTTTTGTCTTTGACCCATTTTTATTGAAGTATTATCCAAATTTGTACTTTGTCTTGTTAATTATGATGTCATTGTTAAAATTTTCATGATGTAAACACGCTACAGGGAGTGTATTTTTTAGCAATCTGTACTTTAAAGAAGAGAAAAAAAGAGGTATTTCTATACACTTGTTAGCATTCCTGTTGCTGTCGGCCAAAAAAACATTACATTTGACACTAACCTTTAAATGACATTAAAGAATTTTATAAACCTGTTGCTTGTTTTTAAAAAGAAAAATACTTTATAAGATCTATTCCTTAAGGTGAGCGATATAGGGCCATCATGGCCCTCTTGTTCTTTTCTTCCTATGTTGAAAATTCTGGTTGCTATGACAACAAATAGACTGAAAATATGGCAAATTTAACACATAAACTGGATCTATTGAGGCCGTCCTTAAAAAAATGTTTGTTTGCAGTAACCCGACCCAGAATTTTCAAGGTGGGTAGGTAGGTTGATTTTTTTTTTTTTTATTGAACTGTACTCCCAAATAAACATGGAATTTCAAAATGCAGGACAATATATGCTTTGATAATCTGGTAACAATTAATAAATTGATAACAGAATTCTTATTTAATAAGAACTACATTTTATTATACCCCCGCACAACTAAGTTGTAAGGGGGGTATACTGGAATCAGCTTGTCCGTCCGGCTGCCAGCTGTCCGGCCGTCGGGTGTCTGTCGGTTTTTAGCTCACCTGTCACAAAGTGACAGGGTGAGCTTTTGTGATCGCTTTTCGTTCGGTGTCCGTCCATCGTCCGTCCGTCCGTAAACTTTTACTTTAAATGACATCTCCTCATAAACCACTAAGCCAATTTCATCCAAACTTCACAGGAATGTTCCTTTGGTAGTCACCTTTAAAAATTGTTCAAAGAATTTAATTCCATGCAGAACTCTGGTTGCCATGGCAACCGAAAGAAAAAACTTTAAATATCTTCTTTTAAAAAACCATAAGAGCTAGAGCTTAGATATTTGGCATGAAACATCATCTAGTGAGTGTCTACCAAGTTTGTTCAAATAAAAGCCCTGGGGTCAAAATTGGCCCCGCCCCGGGGGGGTCATTGATTTTCCCTATATACATATAGTAAAAACTTAAAAAATCTTCTTTAAAAGAACCAAAAGAGCTACAGCTAAGATATTTAGCATGAAACATGTTCTAATGGGTGTCTACCAAGTTTGTTCAAATAAAAGCCCTGGGGTCAAAATTGGCCCCGCCCCGGGGGGTCATTGATTTTCCCTATATGCATGTAGTAAAAACTTAAAAAATCTTTATTTAAAGAACTCAAAGAGCTATGGCTAAGATATTCAGCATCAAACATGTTCTAATAGGTGTCTACAAAGTTTGTTCAAATAAAAGCCCTGGGGTCAAAATTGGCCCCGCCCAAGGGGGGTCATTGATTTTCCCTATATGCATATAGTAAAAACTTAAAAAAATCTTCTTTTAAAGAACCAAAAGAGTTAAAGCTAAGATATTTAGCATGAAACATGTTCTAATAAGTGTCTACCAAGTTTGTTCAAATAAAAGCCCTGGGGTCAAAATTGGCCCCGCCCAGGGGGGGTCATTGATTTTCCCTATATGCATATAGTAAAAACTTAAGAAATCTTCTTTTAAAGAACCAAAAGAGCTAGAGCTAAGATATTTAGCATGAAACATGTTCTAATGGGTGTCTACCAAGTTTGTTCAAATAAAAGCCCTGGGGTCAAAATTGGCCCCGCCCCGGGGGGTCATTGATTTTCCCTATATGCATGTAGTAAAAACTTAAAAAATCTTCTTTTAAAGAACTCAAAGAGCTATGGCTAAGATATTGAGCATCAAACATGTTCTAATAGGTGTCTACCAAGTTTGTTCAAATAAAAGCCCTGGGGTCAAAATTGGCCCCACCCCAGGGGGTCATTGATTTTCCCTATATGCATATAGTAAAAACTTAAAAAATCTTCTTTTAAAGAACCAAAAGAGTTAAAGCTAAGATATTTAGCATGAAACATGTTCTAATAAGTGTCTACCAAGTTTGTTCAAATGAAAGCCCTGGGGTCAAAATTGGCCCCGCCTAGGGGGATCATTGATTTTCCTTATATGCATATAGTAAAAACTTAAAAAAATCTTCTTTTAAAGAACTCAAAGAGCTATGGCTAAGATATTTAGCATCAAACATGTTCTAATAGGTGTCTACCAAGTTTGTTCAAATAAAAGCCCTGGGGTCAAAATTGGCCCCGCCCCAGGGGGTCATTGATTTTCCCTATATGCATATAGTAAAAACTTAAAAAGTCTTCTTTTAAAGAACCAAAAGAGTTAAAGCTAAGATATTTAGCATGAAACATGTTCTAATAAGTGTCTACCAAGTTTGTTCAAATAAAAGACCTGGGGTCAAAATTGGCCCCGCCCCGGGGGTCATTGATTTTCTTTATATGTGTATAGCAAAAACTTAAAAATCTTCTTTGAGAAAACCCAAATAGCTAGAGTTTAGATATTAAGCATGAAACATCTTCTAGTAAGTGTCTACAAAGTTTGTTCAAATAAAAGCCCTGGGGTCAAAACTGGCCCGGCCCCAGGGGTGTCATTGTTTTTAACTATATGTGTATAGTAAAAACTTTAAAAAAATCTTCTTACAATAAAGCCCAATGAGCTAGAGCTTAGATGTTTAGCATGAAACATCTTCTTATGCGTGTCTACCGAGTTTGTGCAAATAAAAGCCCTTGGGTTAAATTGGCCCTGCATAGTTGGGGGGGGGTTGGGGGGCCTATATACAGGTGAGCGACCTCGGGGCCATCATGGCCCTCTTGTTTCTTGTCCGCCCAATAACTTAAGATTCCTTTGACCCACAGTCTTCATATTTGGCATGGAGGTTAGTCATGACTAGTAGATGACCCCTATTGATTTTGAGGTCACTGGGTCAAAGGTCAAGGTCACAGGGGCCTTGACTTCAAAAAGCTTGTCCGCCCAATAACTTAAGATTCCTTTTGACCAACAGTCTTCATATTTGGCATGGAGGATAGTCATGACGAGTAGATGACCCCTATTGATTTTGAGGTCACCAGGTCAAAGGTCAAGGTCACAGGGGCCTTGACTGCAAAAAGCTTGTCCGCCCAATAACTTAAGATTCCTTTCACCCACAGTCTTCATATTTGGCATGGAGGTTAGTCATGACAAGTAGATGACCCCTATTGATTTTGAGGCAACAAGGTCAAAGGTCAAGGTCACGGGGGCATTGACTATAAAAAGCTTGTCCACCCAATAACTTAAGATTCCTTTGACCCACAGTCTTCAAATTTGGCATGGAGGTTAGTCATGATGAGTAGATGACCCCTATTGATTTTGAGGTCACCAGGTCAAAGGTCAAGGTCACAGGGCCTTGACTTCAAAAAGCTTGTCCGCCCAATAACTTAAGAAACTTTTGTCCTACACACTTCATATTTTGCATGGAGGCTAGTCATGATTAGTAGATGACCCCTATAAAATTTTGAGGTCACTGGGTCAAAGGTCAAGGTCACAGGGACTTTGACTTTAAAAAGTTTGTCCGCCAAATAAATTAAGAAACCTTTGATCCATAGTCTTCATATTTGGCATGGAGGTTATTCATGATAAGTTGATAACGCCTATTGATTTTAAGTTGACTGGGTCAAAGGTCAAGGTCACAGGGGCCTTGACTATAAAATGCTTGTCTGCCCAATAACTTGAGATTCCTTTCACCCACAGTCTTCATATTTGGCATGGAGGTTAGTCATGATTACTCGATGACCCCTTTCGATTTTTATGTCACTGGGTCAAAGGTCAAGGTCACAGGGGCCTTGATTTTGAATAGTTTGTCCGCCCAATAACTTAAGAAACCTTTGACCCACAGTCTTCATATTTGGCATGGAGGTTACTCATGATAAGTAGATGACCCCTATTTATTTTTATTACACTGGGTCAAAGGTCAAGGTCACAGGGACCTTGACTTAAAAAAGCTTGTCCGCCCAATGACTTGAATTCCTTTGGCCCACAGTTTTCATATTTGGCATGGAGGTTAGTCATGATTAGTAGATGACTTCTATTGATTTTGAGGTCAATGGCTCAAAGGTCAAGGTCACAGGGGCCTTGACTAAAAAAACCTTGTCCGCCCAATAACTTGAGATTCCTTTGACCCACAGTCTACATATTTGGCATGGAGGTTAGTCATGATTAGTAGATGACCCCATTGATTTTGGGGTCACTGGGTCAAAGGTCAAAGTCACAGGGGCCTTGACTTTAAAAAGCTTGTCCACCCAATAACTTGACATTCCTTTGGCCCACAGTCTTCATCTTTTCGTATTTGGCATGGAGGTTAGTCATGATTAGTAGATGACCCCTATTGATTTTGAGGTCACTGGGTCAAAGATCAAGGTGACAGGGACCTTGACTTAAAAAACCTTGTCCGCCCAATAACTTGAGATTCCTTTCACCCACAGTCTTCATATTTGGCATGGAGGTTAGTCATGATTAGTAGATGACTCCTATTGATTTTGAGGTCACTGGGTCAAAGGACAAGATCACAGTGGCTGAAAACCTTGACTAAAAAAACTTGATTTTTACATTTTCACATTTGAAGCATGGAGAATACATATCTTAGCAATGCACTGGCTTAGTAACCTCAGATTTAGCAGGGTGGTTGTCCTTGAGTTCTAAATGGCCACTGTTGATTCTGACAAAGTGGTGTGCGGGGGTATTCATGCCATGACAGTGGCAGTTCTAGTTGATAAAGTTATTGTAGAAGGGTTTTCATACCAGAACTATTTATGACCAACGTATGACTAAACCTGATTACCGCCGCAGTATGACGTCACGGAGTAGTGATTTTGAAAAAATAAACAAACAAAAATCAAATTTTTTTTAGAGAATTATTATCCTTACAAATTGCAGATATGAAGTTTAAGAATGAAAATATTTTCATATTGTAAATGTCTGTGATGAGTGATGAGTCAGCTTAAAAAAATCAAGGTACTATTTTTTGACCTGATTACCGTTGCAGTAAGATTTGACGAATGGTATTAACATTGGGGAGGCATAGCCACCCCAAAATTTAAAAATCTTCTTGTCTGAAGGTACAAGGATAGAGCTTTGATGTTTGCTATATAATATCATCTATAGGTCCTCTACCAAAGTTGTTCAAATTTTTCCCCTGGTGTCAAAATTGGCCCTGTCCGGGGGCATTGATTCTCATTATTTACACATAGTAAAAACAGAAACTAAAACAAATGTTTTCTGAATTGGAAAGCTACAGCTTAGATATTTGGCATGAAATGTTGTTTGGTGGACCTGTATCAAGATAGCTTTGAATTAAACCCTTGCATGCCCAATGGGTCAGTGACCTATTTTCTTGTCCTTTGTTGTACAGCAAAGATTTTGACCATATCACAGTTTTAGTTGTAAAATATAACTTTTATATCAAGTGACCTAGAGTTAATGATGTGACATACTTTCTTGTCCTTTGATGTACAGCTATGAAATTTGAACCATGTGCACAGATTAAGATGTAAAGTGAACTTTGATATTAGCTGACCTAGAATTTGACAAAGTGTCTTACTATGTTGTCCTTTGATGTAGTCATGAAATTTAGGCTGTGTGAAATATGACCTTCACCACCAAATTCACTAGACTCAACTGCATTGATATATTCCTACTCTGATCTTTTATTTGAATAACAATAGATTTAACCACTAATCTAATCATAAGAATTATATAGGTCAATGATCTATACATTATGGCAGTCTTCATTTGTATAGAAACAAAAAAATTCTGTTCCTACATTACTATTTAGTGTTGTATTAATGCGGTGGCATAGCATTTTTCACAAATGCAATCTTGTTTTCAATTTCAATTGTATGTTTTTTACAGGCATGGTAAAAAAGTGTGGTCTTCTTAAGATTATCCACGATCAGTTTAAAAAGACAGGCAAGGGAGAGAATCCAGTACTGACAGATTACCTAAGTTCATTTGAAGCTGCTGTTGAGAGTAATAAAGACTTGGAAGCAATGCTTGGTAAAAATCAGGTAAGATGCGAAATTGATAATCGCATGTATAAATGAAAGAGAATTGATATTTATATGAAATTTTGACCATGTGCACTGTTGAACTTTGATGTACAGCCATAAGCAGAGATTAAAATGTAAAAATTGAACTTTGACATCAGCTGATCTAGATTTTGACAAAGTGACATACTGTCTTGTCTTTTTGTGTACAGCCATGAAATTTAGGCCATGTGCATAGTTTTAGATGTAAAATTGAACTTTGGTATCAGCTTACCTAAATTATGATGAAGTGACCTCGTTTAGCTCATTTCCTTTGGCACTTTTATATAATATAAACAGCTATAACATTTTTACAATGTGCACAATTTAGTATGTAGGATCAACTGACCTAGATATTGACATCTAGACATACTTTCTTGTTTTTGATGAACACATGAAATTAGGACAATGTATATAGTAAATAGTAAAAAAATATATTTTGCATGATGTATGGTATAGTGACCAACATTGTTCAAATTCTTTTAATAAACACAAGCTTTCACTGCTTTTACACAAATAACAGTCTGTACTCCGGTGAGTTTTTTATGCCACCGCAGCATCTGCGATGCGGTGGCATACAGCGCGATTCACCTGTGTGTGTGTGTGTGTGTGTGTGTGTGTGTGTGTGTTTGTGTGTGTGTTCTATAGATTATATATTGAACTTAAAAAATCTTCTTGTGAAAAACCACTAGTCCAATTTCAACCAAATTTGGCAGGATTGATCCTTGGGTGAAGGGCTTCCAAAGTTGTTCAAAGAATTTCATTCCATGCAGAAGTCTGGTTGCCATGGCAACCAAAAGGAATTATAAGAATAAATTAAAAAAATCTTCTTGTAAAGACCCAAAAGGCCTAGAGCTTAGATATTTTGCATAAGGCATTGTCTGGTAGACCTCTACCAAAATTATTCAAATTATAGCCCTGTGGTCAAAGTCGGCCACGCCCCCGGGGAGTCATTGATTTTCACTATATGTACATATAGTACAAACTTAAAATACCTTCTTGTAAAGACCCAAAAGGCCTAGAGCTAAGATATTTTGCATAAGGCATTGTCTGGTAGACCTTTACAGAGATTGTCCAAATTATAGCCCTGGGGTCAAAATGGGCCCTGCCCCGGGGGTCATTGATTTTCACTTTATGTACATATTGTAAAAACTTAAAATACCTTCTTGTAAAGACCCAAAAGGCCTAGAGCTTAGATATTTTGCATAAGGCATTATCTGGTAGACCCTTACCAAGATTGTGCAAATTATAGCCCTTGGGTCAAAATCGGCCCCGCCCCGGGGGTCATTGATTTTCACTATATGTACATATAGTACAAACTTAAAATACCTTCTTGTAAAGACCCAAAAGGCCTAGAGCTTAGATATTTTGCATAAGGCATTGTCTGGTAGACCTTTACAAAGATTGTTCAAATTATAGCCTTTGGGTCAAAAACGCCTCGTCCCGGGGGGTCATTGATTTTCACTATATGTACATATAGTACAAACTTAAAATACCTTCTTGTAAAGACCCAAAAGGCCTAGAGCTTAGATATTTTGCATAAGGCATTATCTGGTAGACCCTTACCAAGATTGTGCAAATTATAGCCCTTGGGTGAAAGTTGGCCCCTCCCCGGGGTCATTGATTTTCACTATATGTACATATAGTAAAAACTTTAAATACCTTTTTAGCTCACCTGAGCTTGCTCAGGGTGAGCTATTAGGATTGGTGAATGTCCATCGTCTGTCGTACGTCCACAATTGCTTGTGAACACACTAGTGGTCACACTTATGACTCAATCATCATCAAACTTTGTCAGGATGCTTGTTTACTAAATTGCTCGGATGAGTTCGAAACTGGATCATTTCGGATGGAAAACTAGGTCAAAGGAGCTAAAAATAGAAAAACCTTGTGAACACTTTAGTGGTCACATTTTTGACCCAATCATCATCAAACTTTGTCAGAATGCTTGTTTACATTATTGCTTGGATGAGTTTGACCATGGGTCATCTCTGATGAAAATCTAGGTCACAGGAGCTATAAATAGAAAAACCTTGTGAACAGTCTAGTGGTCACATTTTTGACCCAATCATCATCAAACTTTGTCAGAATGCTTGTCTAGTCGATGCTTGGATAAGTTTGAACATGATTTATCTCGGATGGAAAACTAGGTCACAGGAGCTAAAAATAGAAAAACCTTGTGAACACTCTAGTGTCACATTTTTGACTCAATTATCATCAAACTTGGTCAAGATGCTTGTCTAGGTAATTGCTCGAATGTCAAGCTCGAATATGGGTCACTTGGGGTCAAAAACTAGGTCACACTGCTCAAATATGGATAATCCTTGTTAACACTAGTGGTCACATTTTTGACATACCTGTCATGAAACTTGGTCAGAACGCTTGTCTAGGTAATTGTTCGGATGAGTTTGACAGGTCAGGTGAGCGATCTAGGGCCATCTTGGCCCTCTTGTTGTAAGGACCAATAAGGCCTAGAGCTTAGATATTTTGCATAAGGCATTGTCTGGTAGACCTCTACCCAGATTGTTCAAATTATAGCCCTGGGGTCAAAATCGGCCCCGCCCCGGGGTTCATTGGTTTTCCTTATATGTATATAGTAAAAACTTCTTCTAGCAATTGACAAATGCTAGAGGTTAGATATTTTGCATGAAACATTGTGTAGTGAACCTCTAGCAAGATTTTCAAATTGTAGGTCTGGGGTCAAAATTGCCTCCGTCCCCGGGGTCATTGATTTTCAATTATACATATAGTAAAAAATCAAAAAATCTTACTGTGTGAAGGTACAAGGCTTAGAGCTTTAATATTTGTTAAATGATATCATCTAAAGGTACTCTACCAAAGTTGTTCAAATTTTGCCTCTAGTGTCAAAATTAGCCCCGCCCCGGGGGCCATAGGTTTTCCTTATATGTATATAGTAAAAACTTAAAAAATCATCTTCTCTAAATTTACAAAGGCTAGAGTTAAGATATTTTGCATGAAACATTGTGTAGTGAACCTCTAGCAAGATTGTACAAATTATAGCCCTGGGGTCAAAATTGGCCCCACCCCCAGGGGTCATTGATTTTCACTATGTACATATAGTAAAAAATTAAAAAAAACTTCTTGTCTGAAGGTACAAGGCTTAGAGCTTTGATATTTGGTATATAATATCATCTATGGGTCCTCTACTAAAGTTGTTTTAATTATGCCCCTAGTGTTAAAATTGCCCTGCCCCAGAGGCAATAGCTTTCCTTATATGTATAAAGTAAAAACTTGAAAAATCTTCTTCTCTGAATTGACAAAGGCTAGAGGTTAAATATATGGCATGATATTTGAACCATGTGCACAGATTAAGATGTAAAGTGATCTTTGATATCAGCTGACCTAGATTTTGACAAAGTGTCTTACTGTGTTGTCCTTTGATCTAGTGATGAAATTTAGGCTGTGTAAAATATGACCTTCACTACCAAATTCACTAGACTCAACTGCATTGATATATTCATATATTTAACCACTAATCTGATAATAAGAATTAGATAGGTCAGGGATCTATGCATTATGACAATCTTCATTTGTATAGAAACAAAAAAAATCTGTTCCTCCACTACTATTTAGTGTTGTATTAATGCGGTGGCTTAGCATTTTTCACAAATGCAATCTTGTTTATGTTTGCTGAAATAGGTAATGCTTAATTGATGAAAAATAACTGTAATTGTATTCCAAAGTTTAATACAGTTATGCAATAAGGTAAATACCTAAATTTTTGTCAAGTACAAATACTTTTTTTTTGAAACAATTATTTCACTATAGCCTGTATATCTGAACGTAAGATACATTTGTACATTCTCTATCATTTGATAGGCAGAAATATGACCTTGACCACCAAATTCACTAAACTCAACATTATTGCAATGACAAAAAAAAACAACAAAAAAGAAAAAAATCTTCTGTTCCTATACTACATTTTAGTGTTTTATTAATGCTGTGGCATAGCATTTTTATATGCCCAAAAGAATGTTGGGCATATAATGTTATACCCCCTGCCGTCCGTCTGTCTGGCCGTGCGTCTGTTAGCAATTTGGTTTCCGATACATAACTTAAGTTCCATTTGGCCAACAATTACAATATTCAAACTTCATAGGATGACTGTCCATATTGAGTAGAAGATCCCTATTGATTTTCGGGTCACAAGGTCAAAGGTCACTATTACCTTGATTATTAATCAACCGACAGCTGTAAAATTTTATAGGATGAACAACTATGTCCAATACATGACTCCTATTGATTTTATGGTCATAAGGTCAGGGTAAAAATGATCTTTACACTGAAAATTGTGGTTTCTGGAGCACAACTTAAGTTACATGTAGCCTACAGTGTTCAAACTTCATAGGATGATTGTCAATATTGAGTGAGTAAAAGACCCCTAATAATTTTTGGGTCACAAGGTCAAAAGTCAAGGTTAAAATGAAAAGGGTTTTAGCTCAATAACTTAAGTATTAATCAACCTACAGCTGTAAAATTGTATAGGATGAATAGCCATGTCCAATACATACCACTATTGATTTTAGGATCAAAAAGTCAAAGGTCAGGGTCACAATGACCTTAACACTGAAATTGTGGTTTCCAGAGCATAACTTAAGTTCCATTTGGCCCAAATATTCAAACTTCATAGGATGATTGTCCATATTGACTACAAGACCCCAAGGTCACTATAACCTTAAAACCGAAAACAGTTTCCTCTCAAAAACATAAGTATTAATCAACCTACAGCTGTTAAATTTTATAGGATGAACAGCCATGTTCAATACATGACCCCTATTCATTTTAGTGTCATAAGGTCAAAGGTCAGGGTCACAATGATCTTTACACTGAAAATTGTGATTTCTGGATCATAACTTAAGTTCTATTTGGCCCACAGTGTTCAAACTTCATAGGATGATTGCCTATATTGAATAAAAGACCCATATCTATATTGCGGTCACAAGGTCAAAGGTCAATATCAAATGACCTTAATATTTACTTTTCGGGCATATAATGTTCCGTCTAGCGATGCTCTTGTTCACAAATGCAATCATGTTTGTATTAATTTGTTTACAGGCTGTTCTAAATCCACTTTTGGTGAAAAGATTATTTGAAAGCATTTCCAATGAAGTAAGTACAGTTAAAGAGTGTGCATAGTTATTATCAAAATTAATGAAAACCAGCAAATTTACTACCATGTACAAGTTTTTTTCTATTTTGATCTTTTGATATATCAAATGCCATAATTATAGTTGTTAGTATACCTTTATGAATCCAGCATTTGTTTTTGAAAGTTTTATGTGAAGTTGAAATAAACTGATATTGGACTTCATAGTTATTTGTTACCAGTATCGTACAGTGCATTATTTGATAGTTTTCTCTTTTCATTGTGATAGGATATTCCACTTTTACTAATGAACTCTAGTGTAGCTCATCCAAAAGATTTAATTCTAACAAGAATCCTCGCACCTCCTCTCTGTATCAGGCCATCAGTTGTGTCTGATCTCAAGTCTGGCACGTAAGTATTTCAATATTTCTGTCTCTCATTATTTGTTTAAGAACTAATGTATAACATGTATTTGTAATTTGGAACATATACTTTCATTTTAACACTTACCTTGACACTCTGAAAAATGTAGACTTTTTAGCTCACCTGAGCAAGCTCAGGGTGAGCTTTTGGGATCGTTGAATGTCCATCGTCTGTCGACCGTCATCATTCTACAAGTTTTCGTTAACACTCAAGCAGTCACATTTTTGCCTCGATCATCATCAAACTTTGTCAGGATGCTTATCTAGGTAATAGCTTAGATGAGTTGGAACATGGGTCGTCTCGGATGAAAAACTATGCGACAGGAGCTAAAAATAGAAAAATCTTGTTAACATTCTAGCGGTCACATTTTTGCCTCAATCATCATCAACTTTTGTCAGGATGTTTGTCTAGGTAATAGCTCGGATGAGTTCAAATATGGGTCATCTCGGCTTAAAAACTAGGTCACTGGAGCTTAAAATAGAAAAACCTTGTTAATACTCTAGATGTCACATTTTTGACTCAATCATCATCAAACTTGGTCAGGATGCTTGTCTAGGTAATTACTTGGATGAGTTCGAACATGAGTCATCTCGGATGAAAAACTAGGTCACAGGAGCTAAAAAGAGAAAAACCTTGTTAACACTCTAGTGATCACATTTTTGACTCAATTATCATCAAAACTTTTTCAGGATGCTTGTCTGACACTGTAGTGGCTACTGTTATGATCCAAATATCCTGGAAATTGGTCTGAATGTTTGTTTTGATGATTTCTAGGTCAAGTTCTAACATGGGTCATCTTTGATGAAAAATTAGGTCACACCGCCCAAATATGGAAAAACCTTGTTAACACTCTAGTAGTCACATTTTTGACTCACCTGTCATGAAACTTGGTCAGAATGCTTGTCTAGGTAATTGTTGGGATGAGTTTGATGGGTCAGGTGAGCAATCTAGGGCCATCTTGGCCCTCTTGTTAAAGAAAAAATCTGTTAATAAAACTTTCCTATGACAAAGATAACTAATCCTTGAAAATTTGGTAGCAGTTGCAGTATGACTGATAAAAGACAAGTGTGTTGACTTTGAGTTACCTTGTAAAGAAAAAAAGAAAAGGCTCACTCACCCATAGGAATTTCTTTTACAATTATTGGTCTTGTCAAATAAATTCATTGGGCGAGTTGTATGTCAAAATTTGTTTACTTGTACATACTTTGAGGAGCATTTCTTATCAATGAGTTAACCAACAACCCAGTGAGGACTGACAGGGCTGTTAAAATAAGTTATAGAATATCTTAGCAATATTAGCAGATACATATCTCCTGTTTTAAGTTACTGTATGCAAGTAAATTGTAAGCTTGTATAATCTTTGACCTATATAGTTTTAAACTAAAATGTATATAGTGACGATTCTGAGTTCAGAATTATAGTTTCACACATAAACACACATGCTAATATAAGTTAAAACAGATCTCTTTGAGTGTAAATGAATCAGTGGTTTAATGTTGATGGTGATGGTAAATAAACCAAAAACACACATTTTATGTGAAACATTATTGCATTATTGAATATTCATTGCTTTATTATCAATATCATGTATGATGGCGTTTTAATTAGGAATGAGGATGATGTAACAATGAAGTTGACAGAGATTATATTCCTTAATGATGTCATACAGAAACACAGAGCTACTGGTGCCAAGATGCAGATGATCGTGGTGCGTAATTTTATCTTTTGTAATATTAAAAAGAAACATAACAGTAAAGACCCATTCATATCTAGATTTTGACCTTGTTTTTATGCCCCCGGGCATATAGTAATTGAACCGTCTGTCCGTCCGTCCGTCTGTCCGTCCGTACGAGGTTAACCTAGAATGGCAAGTTGGATTTTTCTTAAGTTCTACCTGTACCAATGGCTTCTTAGTTTACACACTTACTAATCAATACAAAGTACATGATCTGGTCAATTTCAACCAAACTTGGCAGGATGGACCTTTCAGGTGTTAACAGTTTTATGTAAATTGGCTCACTTGTTATCCAATCGCTACACTGAGATATTACATAGTCACTGGTTGACCTGGTTTGCACAAAAGAACACATGCTAATGTTTGTGATACTGTTTGTGAGCAGTTCACCTAGAAATGAATGGAAAAGGTGTGGCTAAATATTTCGCTACGAAAAACCGGAAAGGTCCATTGATCCTTGGGTGAAGGGCTTCCAAAGTTGTTCAGAGAATTTCATTCCATGCAGAAATCTGGTTGCCATGGCAACCAAAAGGAATTATAAGAATAAATTTAAAAAATCTTCTTGTAAAGATCCAAAAGGCCTAGAGCTTAGATATTTTGCATAAGGCATAGTCTGGTAGACCTCTACCAAAATTGTTCAAATTATAGCCCTGGGGTCAAAATCGGCCCCGCCCTGGGGGTCATTGATTTTCAATATATACATATATAGTAAAAAATCAAAAAATCTTATTGTCTGAAGGTACAAGGCTTAGAGCTTTAATATTTGTTAAATGATATCATCTATAGGTACTCTACCAAAGTTGTTCAAATTTTGCCTCTAGTGTCAAAATTAGCCCCGCCCCGGGGGCCATAGGTTTTCCTTATATGTATATAGTAAAAATTTAAAAATCATCTTCTCTTAATTTACAAAGGCTAGAGTTAAGATATTTTGCATGAAACATTGTATAGTGAACCTCTAGCAAGATTGTACAAATTATAGCCCTGGGGTCAAAATTGGCCCCACCCCCAGGGGTCATTGATTTTCACTATGTACATACATATATAGTAAAAAATCTTCTTGTCTGAAGGTAAAAGGCTTAGAGCTTTGACATTTGGTATATAATATCATCTATGGGTCCTATACAAAAGTGGTTTTAATTATGCCCCTAGTGTTAAAATTGCCCTGCCCCAGAGGCGATAGTTTTCCTTATATGTATTAAGTAAAAACTTGAAAAATCTTCTCTGAATTGACAAAGGCTAGAGGTTAAATATATGGCATGAGACTTTGCGAAGTGAACCTTTACCAAGATTGTTCAAATTATAGCCCTGATGTCAAAATTGGTCAAAGGCTAGAGGTTAAATATATGGCATGAGACTTTGCGAAGTGAACCTTTACCAAGATTGTTCAAATTATAGCTTGGGGTCAAAATTGGTTCCGCCCCGGGGGTCATTGATTTTCATTATGTACATATAGTAAAAAATAAAAAATATTTTTGTCTGAAGCACAAGGCGTTTTGATGTTTGCTATATAATGTCATCTATGGGTACTCTACTAAAGTTGTTCAAATTTTTCCTCTGGTGTCAAAATTGGCCCTGCCCAGGGGGCAGTGATTCTCATTATGTACACATAGTAAAAACAGAAAATGAAACAAATGTTTTCTGAATGGGAGAAAGCTACAGCTTAGATATTTGACTTGAAATGTTGTTTGGTGGACCTATAAAAATTTCTGTTTTGAATTAAACCCTTGCCATAACGTCTGTAATCCGCCTGTAGGCAGTTAGTGGTCAAACACCGGGTAAATTACCGCTAAATATGAGGTGATGAAATCTACAAGATTCAGCGAATGTTTCAGGTAAATGAGATGGCTAATTTTCCTTACTTAACATAGCTTTATTCTATTATGTGACTGATTGAATTTAAATACCTAAATACTTAAAAAAGATAGAAAAATTGTTAATAATTATTGACATTTTGTCTTTTGTTTATGGTGTCATTAAATTTGCAAGTTGTAAATACCGTTTATATAGGTTGTATGCCACTATGTAAATTTTAAAAAAATACGTTTGTTGATCAATGCCCCACCTCCAAATGAAAAGTGTCCTGGAAATGAGTCTAAAAATTATGGCATGTATGATATTGGTTTGGGGTAAATTAATTTAGTGTAGCCCATTTAGTTTATAAACTTCTTACAATTTGCCATCCTTCATTACATGTTTGGTCAAATTTGTATTTTTGTAAATTTTCACGCCAATTGAAGACTATTTCTAAAACCAGGTAATGTAGGTAACATGTTTTTTCTGTTTGACAAATAAATAAAACTTTTCAATTCTAAAAACAAAAAATCATTATCTTCAGAACCTAAAATAAATTATTTACAATTAAAATTCTCATCAAAATTATCTATATTGTCTTTCAGATATTGAAATAAAGATTGAATTTTTGGACATTCCCAAAATAAATGCAACAGAGTTTCCTCTTGGCAATTGCAAAATGTACACATATCACTATTAACAGTTTTCATTTTGAATAAAAGTGAGTTAGTTGCTAAAGTTCTATGAATTTTTCTTGTCTGAAACCACTGAATATAGGAATCTTTGGTACATTTAAATACATAACTATATATTAAATTCCAATTTATATCAAAATTTGTAAATTATTAGTTCCATTTTTCTTGACATGTTGGTACATCTTTATTTCTAACTAGAGTTTCATAAACATATTTCTTATAAAGTGCTTAAAGAAGAGTCCCTTTCATAAAAAGTGCTTAAAAATGTAAAAAAGTGCTTAAAAGTCCTTGAATTTGATTACTGTCTTTAAAAGTGCTTAAAAAGTGCTTAAATTTGCTGAAAATATGCTTGAAAATGATTGAATGACATAGTGTCGATAAAAATCAACAGTTTAACAAAATAATTTTTTTTTATCCAATTTAGTATCAAAAGTCAATGAAATGTTTGCTCAACATAAAAAGTGGACAAATTGCAGTTGTTAGCTCACCAGAGCCGAAGGCTATTAGTATCAAAGGGGGATACTCCGTCGTCCGTCGTCATGTGTCAACAATCATCTTCTTCTCTGAAACCGCTGGACAGATTTACTTCAAATTTGGTCTGTAGCATCCTTGTGACAGTCACACTTGAATTTGCTCATGTCATGTCAATTGGCCCCTTTTAGGGGTCATCGGAGCTAAAAATAGAAAAACCTTTAAACATCTTCTTCTACAGAACTAATTGATGGATGATCACCAAACTTTGTCTGTAGCATTCTTGGGTAGTCTTTTATCAAGTTTGCTCATATTAATTTGATTGGCCCCTTTTAGGGGTCTCTAGAGCTAAAAATAGAAAAAAACATTTAGACATCTTCTACAGAACAAATGGATGGATGACCAACAAACTTTGTCTCTATCATTCTTGGGTAGTCTTTTATCAAGTTTGCTCATATTAATTTGATTGGCCCCTTTTAGGGGCTGCTAAAGCTAAAAATAGAAATTACTTTAAACATCTATATCTAGAGAACTAATTGATGGATGATCACCAAACTTTGTCTGTAGCATTCTTGGGTAGTCTTTTATCAAATTTGCTCATATTAATTTGATTGGCCCCTTTTAGGGGTCAGGGGATTAAAAATAATATAAACCTTCAGACAGCTTTTTCTACAGAACTTTTTGATTGATGATCATCAAACTTTATTATTAGCATTCTCATAGTAATCTTTTATAAAAATTGCTCATATGTATTTGATTGGCCCCTTTTAGGGACTGCCAAAGCTAAGATACCCCAGACCATGGCATTTCTTCAAATTATAGTTTAATGGAAGGGAGACAACTCATGTTGGAATTTTTTTCATGCATGTTTGCTGATGAAATTATTTGAGGTCATGACCTCTTATGAAATAACTTGAGCACATTACACAGGATATAAAAGGACTTAGTATCAAGCTTTATTTGGTTTCATTCATATTCATTAATTACATCACTACATGCAGTGTTTCCTCTAGAGAGCGTTTTCTGCGTTTTTGACGCAGTACTTTTGCATTTGACGCGGTAATATTATATTTGCGAGCGTCGTAGTATATATTTTTTTCTATAATTAGCATGAATTTCATCAGCTGATCGGTCACATGATCTATCTTAGACGCTTTAGTGAATATTACACCATAAAGGCGCTCAGACGCTTCAGAATGTGATGTCATTATCCAGGTAAATTCCCAATGTCTGCTTCGAAAAAAAAAGCAGCGAAGATTGACTCCATTCTTCAATAAAGACAATGTTAACGTTGATGGGGCGACAGAATCTACCGTAAACAACTCTGCGCCTATACCAAATGAGGTTTCCAAACCAAATCAATCGGCGATTGCTGAAACAACTGAGAAATCCAAGCAAAATGATAATGCTCCATGGGTGCAAGTTTTCCGGCATGTGCCGGAAGTTCCGGTTTTTCACGTGCCGGAGGGATCATTTTTGCAAATCACGTAAATCCGTTGAGATATTTGGAGGGGTATGGTGCGGGTCTACTCTTTCGAACTGAGAAGTACCACCGATTAGAAGTTCATAATCGAGAACGCTATATAACATACGGTTGTTCTCGAAGCGTCAATAGTAAACTTTCGCGGAAACTGCCGATAGTTTCCGAAGATATACGAGATGTTTACGAAAACATGTATTATTAATCCCGGCATGCAATTTTATCCGTGAATTTATTACAACGATTTAGATTGGCGCGCTAATTATAATCATCCAATGAAAAAGCGGCTTCGTTACCGATTCGGCTACAGAGTAATATGTAAACAGAAAGTAGCCTGGAACCCCGTTGTACAATTTGTTAGTCAAAATGAAGTTTCTACACGAAGGATTTAATACAAAAGATATGGAGAAGACCTCAAAAAATAAATGGAGATGGGAATGGTTGTCTGTATGTGATCGAAACGGGGATAACTACGGAAACTGGCTGGAAAAGCCAGACGTTCCCGGCGTAGCTTTCTGCACTGTTTGTAGAAAATC